AAAGGTGACAGTAGTGCCCGTGGTGATCGGTGCACTCGGGGCAGTGACCCCGAAGCTAGATGAGTGGTTACAGCGGATCCCTGGAACAACCTCGGACATCTCGGTCCAGAAATGTGCAGTGCTAGGAACAGCAAAGATACTGCGCAGAACCCTCAAGCTCCCAGGCCTCTGGTAGAGGACCCGAGCTTAGAGAGGGATAACCGCCCGCGGAGGGCCAAAGGTGAGTGGACAATTTTTATATATATATATACACATATATATACATATATATACATATATATCATATATATTAGCTCGTAGTGTGAAAAAAATATTTATTTAAGTATCTCACGAAAAAAGTTAAATGAACTGAACTTTGAACTAGTTCAGAATTAAAAATGTGAACTTTGAACGTGAACTGTTCACTTTGAGCATGTATGAACTGAACTTGAACTAGTTCAGAAAAGCTGTGAACTGGCACAACACTGGTTTTCAAATAGTATTGGAATTGACCAGATGACTATAGTCTCCAGAAATTAATAAAACATATTTTGGAGCGGACCGATAAAAATAAACCAATGGGATTTGTTCATCCCCAAAGAACCAATGGAATGCGTTTACCCCTTCACCCTCTCCCTGTTTCTCATGAGTGCGTACACCTGAGTTATTGTATTTTCTAAAACCTAAAAGGGCTGAACAGAAAATTTCAATTTCACGTTTGCCACCGACTACCGCTGTTGGGACAAAGAAAAGAAAATTCTGGATGTTTGGTTTGGTGGAGAGGCGAGGGGAGGGGGGAGTGGTTTCGAGTCGGTGCTACGGCTAAGCTGCCGTAGCACTGCTAACGGCATCTTTAAAATAAACCTTCATATGAATTGTTTGTTTAAAAAGTGAAGAAAGATAAAGCCTTGACCCAAACACACACAAACACACACACAAACACACACACACACACTACACCACAGCGCCTCCTAGGGGCAGTTCAAGGTGAGTCATAATTAAATGAGCTGTGTTCTGACCCGCTCGTTTGTCACTGCCTCCTTCTGGCCTCTGGGCTGAACTGCAATTAATACGAGCTGCAGCCCACTGTGTTTTTAATAGAACTCTGCAGCATCACAGCAGAGGTGAAAACAGCTAACAACGGGCGAGAACAACCATATCTGTGTCTGAGGTTAGAAAGCATCGTTTATAGAATATTTCAGTAGAATATTGTTATCTGAGAGGTATATTCTAACCAATATGCTTCATCTTTGCAACCAATTAATTAGCAGCTGGTTGAACTGGATTTGTATTGGTGTTTTTTATTCTTTACGTTTGATCACACATCCTCACATCTGACCTCTATAGAAAGACAACAAATACTGAGACAGACAATCGAGCAGACATGTCCAAACTAAGGCCTGCGAGCCGAATGCGGCCGGCTGGGTCATGTTATGTGGCCCTCTGTCGTGCTGTACAGACGTATAAGTGTGAGTGAAAAACAGCAACAACAAAAAACACTTTCAAACGTACGTATATATACAAAGAAAACTAGAAACTTGTCTCTTGCTACCTGGTGTCTAAAGCCAAAAAGAAAAAGTGCGTCTTAAGCAAATATTTAAAGTTTTTGAGTGATTGTGCAGCCTTGGGCCCTATCACAGAAAACAAAGTAGCCATTGAGGTACTTTCACAGTATCATCTAGCCAACTTCAGCTCCACCAATATAGTCATGCTGTACCTTGTTGTGAAGCTCAGAACCTTTAGAATCCAGTTACTGACATCATACTTTTTGATTGTGTCACAAAACTCCAAATATGGCACTTTAATGTAGCTGTGGTGTGAATCAATATGGCTCTATCACACCCCATTATAAAGTCCAGAACATCCAGAATCTAATAACAAAAACAGTTTTACAATACGTGAAGAAAGCTGAGGAAAACCCAACCAGAGGTGCTCATATGACTTAGAAAATTCTATTTAACAAGGCAATTTCACAATACCCTCTTATACCAATTATATAATTTTAGTTTAATTTCACACAACTTGCACATTATAAACAGGGCCCTTGAGTTTACAAGTCCGGCAAACTAAAGTGGCCCTCTTACTCAAATGTTTGGACACCCCTGCTGTAGGGTTAAGCACATATACTTAAACTGACATGTTTGACTGATGGACCCACATGTCGCAGTACATAACCAAAGCAGCTGCAGTGACCCCTTTCTGCCAGAGCTGGTATTACACATTCAATACAACATTGGTGTCATCTTTTACATAGCTGTGGACTATAACATTTAAAAGCAACAGAAAAAAAAATCCATGGCTCCCGCGTTAAACCCCCACGTTAAATGGATGTTTGTAATAGGGTGTTCGAAGAGAGCGGCCGGGGGGGAAGCGCTCTCCAGCACCAGCTCGCTCTGTGCTGTAATTGGGAATTAGGAGGAGATTAATGAAGGCGCTGATTAGCATTAGCTCTAATCCAAAAGAGTGGAGGGTCTTTGTATCTCTGACTTACTGCTGCTCCAGCTGCAGGCAACAAGATCAGGGAAAGACTGCATTTTCCCATGAGCAAAACTTCATTCTCTGCAAGTGTGGCAACTGCGAAATAGCCTGTGTTTTGTTTGTTATTTATCATATTTTGTAGTAGGCCTTAGTAAAAGAGATGAAGAAGAGGTCACAAATGTAAAAACTGGGAAAAGTAGCATACAACAAGTGCAAATAAGTGAGCACTTTGTCGTGCCGAATGCCATGTTTATAATATGCAAGTTTTGTGAAATTAAACTAAAAATAAATTGTTGGTAGCAGAGAATGTTGTGCAATTTCAGTTCTGGCCATGTTTACACACGTTTACATGCACCGCAGAAAAAACACATGTTCATTCAAAATAGGGAGTTGTAAATAGAATTTCTGAAATCGTATATAAGCACCTCTGTCTCAATTTGCTCAAATTTGACAAAAAGTATCTTAATTTGAGCACATTTTGACAGCCTTAACAAATGATTTACCAACGGGACAAACAAAATGATCTTGTTTTCAAAAGCCTCCCTTGTGTCCCTTTTCATAATGTCTCCCTTGGAAGGAGAAAATAAAGATGAAATCCATAAAATGATGATTAAAGAAAATAACATCCTGGGGAAAAAACGTTCAAACTTTTTTTCCAAGATGTGATTTTGCTTGCTGTGTTGAAAATGATCTTGGAGAAGGGTGATCAGTGTGAAGATGCAGAACAACGGAACAAAAACACTTCTTTCAGTTGTTGCTTGTTTGTGGCTCAGGTGAAGGAGGTCATAAAACTACCCACAAGTCACAAAAGGGACAGCACTTTGCATAATGACAACGCAATGAGTCGTGATGAGCTCTTTTCCTCCAAGTCTGGGCTGTAGCCTGCTCTGCTCTCTCCTTTAAAAAGTTGTAATTGTAAAAAATATGTTTGAAATTGGATAAACTGTCTGTAGTCCATGATGATACAACTCCCCCTGAGCCTGGATATTAGCTCCAGACTTAGTTATTTTTCTGAAAGTGGTAAGTTTTTTTGACATTCCTGTATTCTCTTTGGTGAAAAGCCGACACGGGTCCAAACAACGCACCAATATTTCACAATGTCCCAGACTTAAATATCGGATCCGCAGTCCATGACGCTCAGAGTTAGACTGAATTATTTTGGAGTTTGAGTGAGTTTTCTTCTGAGATATATCTATTATATTGAACTCAGCTCATTAAATAAACAAAGCGACCTATATTGGGGTAGGAGTTTATCCTGGTGGCGGTCCCGGCTCAAAAGTGGCCAAAATGACGAGCGCCCACATGCTTGCAATACCACCCCGGGCCGATGGGGCTGGACCCGGAATAAGAATTAGCCAATGTTAACATATAGTAAGTAAGTAAGTAAGTAAGTTTTTATTTATATACCGCCTTTTCACTGCAGATCTGAGTCTCAAAGCGGTTTACAATTGTTAATTTTTTGGGCATTTTGTCTCTCACTCCACACAGAGATGGGAGCAGGGCCAGTACAGGAGGCGCATGCTAGAACTATTGGACATATTTTTAGTGGTAGGGGAAACCGGAGTACCCGGAGGAAACCTACGCAGACACGGGGAGAACATGCAAACTCCACTCAGAAAGGCCCTGGTCCGACCGGGATTCGAACCCAGGACCTTCTTGCTGAGAGGCGAGAGTGCTATCCACTCTGCCACCGTGCCGCCCGGTGGCACGGTGCATCTTCTTATCTCTAAAAATGTCTTCACAGGATGGTCCAAAATTTGGCTCTTGGCCCAAAGCTCTGTTCCACATGTGTGTCAATGCTGAGGGGGATGAATTTTTTTGGATCAGTCTATTTTAGTCGCTGTGAATTTTTGAAGGCACTCGTTAAATGAATGGGGCTCATGCTGGTAACTTGCCAACAACCAATAGCTCGCCATCCCCTTTCACTTACCTCCCCACCAGAACTTAACAAATTATCCTGAATGATTAACTTTTGAGTCATTGCGTATCTATTTTAACTAAAATTCTGTCATGAATGCAGGGATACTCTACGGTTCAACAGTATAGTATAGTAAGTATATGTGTTCTCCATGATTTTCTGTAGTTATTATACAAACTACAATTGTATTACGACTGCACAAAAGGTACATTTCTCCATTGAAGTTTATCTTATATTATCTCATCTTAAAAGACTGCTATATCTCCTTCTGACTTCCCCCCAGACTTCTCACTCCTCGCCTGTCTCTCTCTCTCTGCTCTGTCTTCAGCAGTTTATCCCAGCTTTAGCCAGCTCCTGTGTTCCTCCTGATGTTAACCTCTCCCACACTCGCACTGATACAGACCATTACTGTGGATGGACCGTGCCCCGCTGCGTTATCGCTCTAATGCTAACGGCTAATGAGGCTTTACCTGCGGGGGTCTCCGGTGCTAATCCACGGGGCTCGAGGCTCCTTCTTGTTTCCGGCCTAATATTCTCCTCACGGCGAGACCAGCACTAGTCTGCGCCATTTGAAACTCCACACACGAGCCGCGCTTTCTCATCTTTTTAACGGCTGCAGTGATAAATGAGGGCCTCCGTCTGTGGCCTGGATATTTGTCCACGGTGACTTCAAGGACTTTGACACACTAAAGATAATTTCAACTCTATACACGGCACAATTTATGTTTGGGAAGTTAAGTGGGTTCTGACTTTCATATGACAAATAGACAAATTTACTGCCCACGTATTTTATGATTATTATAGAGTATATATATAAAAATGCTGTAGCTCAAGTCGTGATTAGACGCAGGAGTCCTCCCACATGAGTCCGCTGCTCGGGTCTCTGCACTCACTCAGAAAATAGACTTTAGAACGGCTCTGCTCGTGGTTTGGGCGTGTTGCTCTTATGCTTCATTTAGAGATGTGAAAACCCCAAAGAAGTGCACTCTGCTCCCCGATTACTGATGTCATAGAGATCAATCAAATCTATCTGTATCTGGCTGAAAGTCAGATTTGCAAATGAACAAACAGTTTGTTCTATTTCAAGTGAAGTTGAACTTTATTCATATTGCCAATGAAGAATTTCTGTGGTCTCAAGAAAATGTTTTTTCATCTCTTTTGGGCTACATCCTGACACAGAAAGTACTCACATTAAGATACATTCATAGCATTTTCCACTTATATACACTGGTATCTTCTCTCAGTGTAGCCCCAAAGACTTGGTGCGTCTGCTCCTATCAACACCATCAAATCTGAATGTTGCTCATTCTCCTTTTTGATATCCTTTCATCACACGTGCCATATCGACCCTCTCTCCATCATTTCCCCATTCCTCACATCGCATCACTCTGTGCTCCTTAAATCGTCCCATTCTTTGCCGCGCTTTCGAAAACTCTGCCCATTTTCCAGTGTTTGGTATCAAATTATTCTACGTGCAGAGGTCTCCATCGATTAGTTTCTGCACTTCGGCGTTAGATGAAGCTCTTTTCTAAAAACTTTCATGGGCCTCTCCCACAGCCGGGGCGAGGCTTATATGTTTGTTTGCACTCAATGGAATGCTATTGATTCTTGCATTATTTTTTTCAACTTTACTTATACTGTTTTCTTTTTCTTTCAGTGGCAACAATTACTATGGCGCAAGAAGGTTACGTCACTCATGCTTTACCTCATTCATAAGTGATGCTAATAGTTGAATTTTCGATATATGGGGTCAGTGAGGTGTGCAAAGAGGGTTTTTACGATTGTGTCGGGAGGCAGATAGCGAGTGCTTTTGTTGGGTCATTTCAGGTTAATTGTGTGTGTTTCTCCTTTCAGGCCTGTGCTCATTGGGAACATGTTCTTTGTGTTCTATGAAGGACGGATAAAAGTGATTCAGCCTGTGGCTGCGAGATACCCAGAGGGCACATCAAGCCGAGCGAGAAGACTTCTGGCTCTGGAGGTGTGCGGCTCAACTAAGTAACTGAATCTTTCTGTGGGGATAATTAATAATCACATTAAAAGACTCTATTTAGTGCGTCCCCATACCAAAACCAGGCCGATGATGAATGAATGACTAGAAATGGCCTAAACGCCCAAACACAACCACCTATTTGAAGTCTGTTTTTTCCTGTCCAATTGCACAGAAGGTGGCCTCCAACACACATTTGGGGCATTGGTTTAGCGTTGGGTATCACAGCAGGCTGGTTCTGGGTTCAATTTCACCTTTGGGGCTTTCTGTGTGGGCTTTCATGTCATTGGTCTCTCCCTTATGGGACCAATTCTTATGTGTATAGTTTGTGTCTTTAAATTGTTGTTTCTTGATCTGAGTTGGTGTTCAATGTTTTGTTAAGACCTCTGAGATGACTTCAGTCGTATTTTAGGGCAATACAAGAATATATTGTTGTTCATTGTTGTTATGTCCCTGTGTCTGCGTAGGTTTTCTCCAGGGTGCTCCGAATTTCCCCTACCACTAATAAAATGTACAATAGGTTCTTGCGTGTGCCTCCTGTATGGTGACCCTCTGTTGTGCAGCGAGAGACAAATGCCACAACCATTTCTACAAAGCGCTCTGTGCTTCTGGTCTGAAGAAGAAGAAGACTATTTGGTTCAATTGAATAGTCCACATACACATACTGTATACACATCATAACATCAAGGCAATGCAGCATGATGTTACTTCTGCGCTCTTAAGGACCAAAGTGGGGTGAAGTGTCTTGCCCAAGGACAACAAAGCAAGTCATCAAAAGGAGTCTGGAGAGAAGGTCTTGCGGGGAAAACATGACCTTCTGGCTCCAGAGGTCCAACGCAACTGTCCAACTGAGGCCTACTGTCGCTGAGCCAGAGGCGCCATTTAAATATATGATTTACTTAACATTACTCACTTTCTTAAATTAAAAACAGAAACTCAGTCCTTTATTGAAAAGAGTGAATCAGAAAGGACGCCAATCATTAATTGTATAAACAATGTTTACATATAAAATATTGAGCTTTCTTCGTCTCTTAATATTAAATCGAAAAGCAGGATGTGAAGGCCTTGCACTGTACCATGTGCTGATCAGTTATGCATCTGGACACTTAACAAAGTACAACAGAGTTCACTTTTTAAACCATTAGAGGGACTGCTTGTGTGTTTCTCGCACCAGCTCAGAGATTGTGTTTTAACTTGATTAAACACAAATTTAAAAGAAGGACAGCAGTAGAACGGTCCACTCTGGAATTTCTAATTCTGTTCTTGTAATCAATCAACTAAACCCATTGGGACACTGATATTTATTTTAACCTTGCTCTACGTAATGTAGTTCACTATGCAACAAATCATTTTTAATTAATAATCTTTATCTGCTAGTATGATCTTGATGTTATGTTTATGGACTGAAACATGGCTTTGACAAATAATACAGAGATGCAGTATTTTAATAGAAGCTCCACCACCAAAGTTCAAATTTGAATGATGAAACACGTGTATAATAAAAGGGTGGGGGGGGCATAGGCAGCTGTTTTTAAAGATCGTATTGTCGCCCATAGTGGGTCTCTTGGGAAATGTTCTATCATTTGAGTATGTTTCTTTTAAAATAGAACTAAAAGAAATCTTCTTCCAGTCGTATGTATTGTTGTGTCTAAAGCCGCCACAGTCATTGCCATAGTGTCACTGTTCATTTCCACGGAGTTGCTTGCAGTGGTGTGCACAGATTTTGGACTGGTGTGGTCATGGTATGGTGATTTCAATATACATGTAGATAATGCTAATGATAGATATGCAATAGAGCTGAGCTTCTGTGCTGGGTAACCCTTTGTGACTCACTCAGCATGTGATGTGGCCCCACCCCTCAGCAGAGGACAACACTCTCGAGTCTGTTAATTACCAAGGGGGGATTAATTCAAATGCAAATGTGGTCAATGTTGCTCGGTCTGATCATTTCTGTGTATTTTTTTGACATGTGTCTTGAATTTTTGGGTTAAACCACCAGCTTGAATCTTCGGTTGTTAGAAGAAGACACATAAATGATAATACAGGCGAACTGTTCATGGGGGGGTAAACTTTGAGAAATACGTGGTGTGTACTGTAGATGAATTACTTGATTCTGTCACCACCACTGTTTTGAATGTGTCTGGATACAATTGCTCCCTGTAAAGGTTAAAATAGTTACAAACAAGCAAAAAGCGCCATGGACTAAAGCAGACTCGGTCAGGGCACAGAAGAAGAGAGTGCCCGGAAGGCCGAGCGGAAGTGGCGAAAGTCAAATCTCAAAGTTGACCATGAGATCTTCAAAGATGCGTTGTGCAAATTTTAAACAGGGAACTAACGTAGTAACGAGGGAAATGAACTTTTCTGAAACTATTGAAGGCTGTAGCAACAATCTACGTGTTCTGTGTTTCAACAGTAAATAGATTGACGAATCCCCCTGTTAAGATGCCATCAGAACTTACTCCAAATCTAAATGTAATGAGTTTGCTCATTCTTTAATGACAAAGTCCAAGTTATCAAAAACGCCATCACCTCCACGATAGAATAATAATCCAACCGCCAGTGAGGCATTTTTGGGCTGGACGCACTTTACCCAGTACAAATTGAAACTGTCCAGGAGATAATCACTAGTCTGAGTTCCTCACATGCAGCCTGGATGTATTACCTCCTAGATTTCTCAAGTCAGCTTCTGAGCAGTCCTTTTACCTTCACTTACACAAATAGTTAATATGTCTCTTGAATCTGGAACATTCCCAATGGCCTTGAAAACGGCGTGTCATCAGGCCCCTCCTAAAAAAGAGGAGTCTGGAAGCCCTGGCACTCACAAAAATTATCGGGCCATTTCAAATCTGCCTGTCATGGGAACAATTCTAGAAAAAGTTGCCTATAAAACAACTTACAGTATTTTTAATAATCAATATCGCTTATGATATGTTCCAGTCAGGGTTTAGACCCCACCACAGCACTGAGGACAGCGCTAATAAAGGTAAACAAATGACCATCTAAATCAAACACTGAAGCTGGAAAAGTCTCCGTCCTTTTTCTGTCCACCTAGATTTAAGTTTTGCTGCTTTTGACATATATTGATCATGGCATCCTATTCAGAAACTTGTGGATGGGTTGGTGTTGGCTGGCACCGACCCTAAGCTGGTTTAGGTCCTATTTTCACAGGACAGATAAGTTTTTTGTGGTGATCGTAAATGTACCCAGACCACTTGGCCCTGGACCTTGCGGAGTGCACAGGGGTCAATATGGGTCCTCTTCAGTATAAGTATTTACATTGTCAGTTGATTCACAGTAATAATGTCTCTTATCACAATTACGCTGACGATACTCAGGTCTATGTGTCCCTGACAGCAGGAGAGCATGAACCAGTGGACTCGCTCCTTCACTGTGTCCAGCAAATCGGTGATTGGATGCAAAATAACTTTCTCCAACTAAACACCGACAAAACTGAAATAATTGTTTTCGGACCCCAGAAACAAAGAGAGAGCGTTATTTGTCACCTCCAGGCTCTCTCTCTCTACAACCCTCAAATCAGGTCAGAAATCTAGGAGTGATAATGGACTCAGACTTAAATTTCAAAAGCCACATAAAATCTGTAACATCAGCAGCTTATTACCACCTAAAAAACATTGCTAAAATTAAAAACATAGTGTCTAAGGCAGACTTGGAGACTCTTATACACGCTTTTGTCTCCAGTCGGTTAGACTATTGCAATGGCCTGCTCACAGGTCTGTCCAAACAGGCTGTAAAACAGCTGCAGTACATTCAACATGCAGCAGCTCGAGTCCTGACCAGAACTAGGAAGTACGACCACATTAGTCCAGTTCTCAGGTCTCTGCACTGGCTTCCTGTTCCTCAGAGAATAGACTTCAAAGCAGCTTTACTTGTGTACAAGTCTCTCCATGGTCTCGCGCCAAGGTACATCCATGACATGTTTGTGCCATATGAACCGACCCGGACTCTGAGGAGCACAGGGACTGGACTCCTGTTAGTGCCCAGAGTCGGTACTAGACATGGGCAAACTGCATTTCAGATTCATGCGGCTAGAGTCTGGAACAGTCTTCCTGAGAATGTGAGACAGGCGTCTACTCTGGCATCTTTTAAATCTAGGCTCAAAACAATTCTGTTTAGCTGCGCATATACAACTGAATGATTTTATCTTTTCATCTTTGTTTTTATCTTTAATCTTTTTAATGCACTGTGACTATTTATGATTTTAGTCCCATCTGTGATTTTAATGTTTAAAGGTTTTTAATTTTTGTGATTTTATTTTTAATGTTTTTAATATATCTTGTGCTCTTAATGTGTTTGATTTATGCATGATGTGATAGGGGATGTGAAGCGCTTTGCGTTGCCTTGTGTAGGAAAGGCGCTCTACAAATAAACGTTGATTGATTGATTGATTGATGAACACATTTTTAGAGTGGATTTGGCTCATGGGGCATGTGTTTTAGTTTATACATCCATTCATAGTAATTGTCCTGGTTAGTTATGCTTTATTGAATTATGCTTATCTCGCCTATTGTGAACGTGTTTTGAATGGTTTGGGGTCCAAGAAGATAAAGTCAATCTACCCTGGGTTAGCGGTTGCTTTAAACCACCAAATTTGATGTGAAAGAAGTGTACACAAAGTTATAAAGACTGTCTTGAAATGTGGATTTTGCTCTAGGGGCAGATTTGTAACATATACATCTCATTTTTCAAGTCATTGCCATTAGAAAAGCTCATGCTACTTTTCAGGCAGCTAATTTAGCGACTCGCGATACATTTTCTCACTCCAGCATCCATTGCCTCCTGTATCTCTTCACCTGTCCAAGTTATTAATCCCCTCTGTCAGTCCACTCTCCTGTCTTATCCGGCCCAAACTATTTTGGTGAATTTACCGCGGGCTCCTGGTTCAAAGATGGTCGTTCTGGTGTGTCGTTTGTGCCAGTATTGGCCGCAGTAATTCTCTTTAACTTGTAATTGTGTTTGTAGTGTTTCTCAAGGCTATGGGCTGATTTATGGAGCTTGCCAAGACTCTGCTAACAAGGGTCATAAATCCTGCTGCGGCCGCTGTTGTTAATCACTCTGGGACCAGCACATGGCTCTAAGCTCACACCAGGAGCACAGGGTTGGGATCGGCACCTTTTTGATGGTCTGAGGACTTTTCTAGTTTCAACTTCCAACACAGACCCATGGAGAGCTGTAACTCTCTCTATTTTTTGTGTGGGATTAAGTATCACAAGTTTGTGGTTGTTACTTTTTATTTAGTATGTGTTGGCTGCATCTAACTTACTGTATTAGTTTCAACCTCTTAAATGTCAAATGCCCGTCATTTTTAAGTATGTGCATATGGATTTACAATGTCTCAATGTAAATACGCTTTTAGACTTTAACAGCAATACCTGAAGTTTGAGTAAGTTTGACAGAATCACTCTCAATTTAGCCTAATTGCTGCAAAAATAATATATAATAGTTGAATTGGCCTGATACTGTAATGTCTTGTGTTATGACTATATAAACTTTGGCTCAGAGGTTATGTAAGGTTGTATCAAATATGTCCTCAGTGATCACATATTAAGTATATACATATGCAAGATTCAAGAATTTATTTGCTATTTGTAGTGCACCACATTGGAAAAACTGCAAGACTACCCCCAGTGTCTGAAAATATCTAATCAAAAGTACAATATTACACATTACTTTTTTTGTCTAAACCTCTCATGATGATGGCCACCTATGGTAGAATGACCTAAAAAAGGGGTCTGTAGTTTGGGAGCCACCAGTAGCTCGCCAACCCCATCCAGGTAGCTCGCCGAAGGATTTAGAAATGAACCAATCAATCAAATCAATTTCAGACTGTATTTTTAATTATAATGATTTATTATTTATTTATTACTTTTTGCACTAGTAACAAATATGTGATGATAAATAATGTACCCGATATCGTTCACACCAATATATCATACGACATTTTCCCCGGGGCCGCTTAAAGGAGTAGCTAGCTGCCTTTTAGCTATCTGGGTGGAATAGGTTGGAGACATCTGACCTAAACCCTCATCATTTGATATTCCCGTCTGATAATGGCCCATGTCAAGCGTGTTTGCTAGGTTGTAATCAGAGAGTTTCCTCAAAAACTCAAAACTGAAAAAGGACATTGTATAGGATTATTTTAATAAGGTGTTGTTACGCATGTTCTTTCCTTTTATTTTCAATCCAAGCAGAAGATTTTCCCATGTATCTAAATCTCCGAAATGCGAGCGTGGGAGTATTTTTTATATTTCCGGAGCTAATGAAGAGGTGGGCGTTTGGTTAAAGTGAGAGGATCTGTCGAGCTGTGCTTCTAGTGTGCTTTACCTGCTCTGGGCATGACATTAGACCTGACAGTGCGCACAGACTGCACTTATACTTTAGCGCAGAGTGGGTGGAACAGAGCTCAGTCTGACTGGGACCCACCTGCTTTCCTTCTTATTATAATGATTTCTTTTTAATAGGTGGGGTGAAACAGATTTCCTATTAATGGAAAGTAAATGAGGTATTAAGACGTATTTACTGCTGTCTAAGCATGTTTAATATAATGATTTCCGTCCTAAACAGTGCACAGTGCCCATGGCCAATCTGTAATTGACTTGGCCCAGAGACCATTGGCACAGATTTTAGTTGTGTTAATCAAATAGTAGAACATGTTTGAAAGGAAGTGATGTTTTTTCAAATCAATTTCAGTTCAAATATAATTGACCTGAGAAGCTGGATGTTAGATGAGGAATCTACAAACTCAGACTTGTCTTAATCAAATATCTTGCTAATGCAGAAAGTCGCATTTACTCCATTTCTATGGGAGATAGGAACCCTTATATCCCAGAGACCTTGCCACAGCACAGACAAAACAGAAACATGCATTGATCCGTCTATTCAGACAGACTGCTGTCAAATCATAATGGTACGGATGAATACCATTAGGTTAATAAGTACCCATAAGTACCCAATAAGTACCGTAAGTGCAAACAAGTTAGATTCTGCAAATGTAGTTGTTAATTATGGTCAGCATCTTAGAATAATCGTTTATATGTATTTTTTGGGATTTTTGCCTTATATCCAATCCTAATGATTATGGCCATTTGGACTCTGAGTTTATACTCCATAACTTTATGTTAATGACTTTTAAAATAAATGAGAGGGCTGAAAAATGTTGTAGTTAGAAAAGAAATAAGCTAGTCTCATGTTGAGAATTAGCTTATCAGCCCCTTAGTGAACTAGTCTTAGCAAGGCAATGAAAGGGAAGTTTATTTGTAGAGAAAAATGCATACATCGGAGAACTTAAAGTACTTCACAAAAACAAGGGAGGAAGCATAGCAGACATTTAAAAGATGTATTGTTTACAGTTATAGGTAGTTATGAAGCGAGTTAACCCAAAATCCTCATAAGTGGTTGGCCTGGGAGATGTAAGATAGATAGAGTAGCAAGGGTAAAGAATCAATGACGAAGGAATTCTAGATTGGATACTTAGTAAAAGGAAGTCTTTAATGTGTGGACCGACAACACCATCATTTCACAGAGATTATGTTTGCCTCTCCTTTAATAGGACATCCTCTTTCAATAGGAACCACAGTTTAACTATTAACCAATAGAAACATGTTACCATAAGTAGAATTCTATTGTCAGACATGCAAACAAGTCAGCATTTCCAGTGGTCAGAAGCTCTTCTTGCATTCTTGGCCTTGTTTTGGACAAATGTTAACATCTTATTGACCGAAGCCATGTAGGAGTTTAGTTTAGCTTATTGTTTATTTGGTTGGGACAGTACATGTTAATGAACACATCGCTCCGGATTGTAGCCTTGGGTATATTTCCATCCGTCGTTCCACAGTCGCATTCACAACAACACACTCCTTCACCCTGAACTATTGTACATGTTTTTCGTGGTAGGGGAAACCAGAGCACCCGGAGGAAACCTACGCAGACACTGGGACAACATGTAAACTCCACTATGAAAGGCCCTGTTCCGACAGGGATTCAAAACCAGGACCATTCAGCCACTGTATTGGCCAGTTTGCGTAGACCTCACAACATAAGGCTTTCAGAAGTCACAGATTAAATTGATAGCCCTTTAGAGCCATACTTTGGTCTCTTGAATCCCCTCGCAGCCGCACTGGTCAGGCAGGTTCAAAACAAGCAGCTGCGGTGAGTAACCTTTGACTCCAGCAGTAGCCACATTTTCTTTTTCAACTCTTATGAAAACACAGCTAAATCTGCCCGTCATACGCTGCCTACCGTTCGGGTCGTTTGTCAGTGCAGCGGAGCCGTCCAATCTGCAGCTGTGAGTGAGCTTTCCCACTCTCCACGCCGCACAGTGGGCCGACACAAAGCTGGTTTTGTGGGGCGACACAATGGGCCTCCTCCCCGGCCCCTTCAGATCCATCAGCGCAGAGTTCAGTGGTTCCCAGGCACAAGTGACAGCCTGATTAAGAGCGCACTCCACTGCCTCTCCTGTCGCTTCGAGGGTGCCGCTGCCCCCGGAGCTCTCCCAGGTTGGAAAAAGGTTGACTTGGGAAAAAACATGCGGTGGCACAATGTTGAGGAATAATGCCTTTTGTTGAGAATGAATCAAGTGGACGAAAGGTTGGGAGAGGTGTCAACAAAGCATCGAGAAACAGAATGGTCTTCAGACGTGATGACAGGAACAAAGATGGATAGGGTTAGGAATGGGTTTATCATTTTTGTTTTGGTATTTTCTGGGATAAAGAACAAAAGTCAGTCAAAGAAATGCACCTTAGCTAAAATATAGACTTTTTTGGTTCATATTTCAAAGATTATGAACGATAATGCATTTTTTTTCCCACTCAATGTTAGTGGTTCTGGGATGTAAATTCTAGTCAAACAAACATCTCTCTCTGATCTCTCTATTCTCTTTGGTCTCTCTCTGGTCTCTCTCTCTGGTCTCTCTATGCGCTCTCTCTCTGCTCTCTCTCTGCTCTCTCTATGTGCTCTCTCTGATCTCTCTTTGGGCTCTATCTGGTCTCTTTCTTTGGTCTCTCTTGTCCCTTTCTCTAGTCTCTCTCTCTGGTATTTCTATTGTTTCTCTTGTTGGTCTCTCCCTCTGGTCTTTGTCTAGTCTCTCTATATGCTCTCTCTCTGGTGTCTCTCTGCGCGCTCTCTCTGATCTCTCTCTAGTCTCTCTCGCTGGTCTCTCTCTGGTTTTTCTCTCTGGTCTCTGTATTGTATATTCAGATACAGAAACTACTCAAATGACCTTGATTAGAACTTTCCACCCCCCAGTTCTCAATAGCGTCTATCACCCATTTAACATCTATGGACAGTTTTTAATATTTTGCGATTGTTGTGATTGAGCTTCTTTATCCTCTCTTAAGATAAAGCTGTCCATTCTTCCTCTCCACTATCCTCCAATTTCTGTATATTCCTGGGCCGCCATTTGTGAACTGCACGTTTTAATATCTCCCCAGATATAATCAGAAAATAGAAAACATTTTTTTTGACAATATATGGCTTCTCAACAACCAGTAACAATGAGCAAAAAAGCAAAGGAAGGTTTCTCACCCATCATCTGTACTTCTTAGCAGGTTTTCCCGACGTTTCGTCCTCAAACCAGCGGACTTCTTCAGGGAATGAATTCTCAGATCGCGCGTTGGAGATTTATAACCTATGGGTGTGGTTAGCCACACCCTAATCCTGATACTAACTCATAAACAATCTAAGGTCTGTTTGATGTAGAAGGGAGCAGGTCTAACGACCCTGCTGAGGCTAACAACCCTAACTCCTTAGCATGTCACAGACCTATTGTCTGCTGGGATGCTCAAGTGGAGTGTAGGTCTCACCCCTCCTAACTCATTAGCATGTCACTGACCTTGTCCCAAGTTAGGGCGTTGTTTTTAGGATGTCGTCATAGATGCGAGGCAAAACAAATCTTAACCCTCCTCCTCTGTTAAGAGAAGGTTTTTGTTTCCTCACAAAAATGGCTTCTTTCACCCCTCTCTCAAACCAATTCTTCTCCCGAGCCAGAATTTTAACCTCTGTGTCATCCACCGTGTGGTTGGAGGCCTTGAGTGGAGATGAACAGCCGACTGTGGCCCACTAGAGTTTTCTCTACGATGTTGGTAAAGTTGTTTCTGTAGAGTTTGTTTGTTTTTTCCAATATAAATAAATGAGCAAAAAAGGTATTCTCCAAATCTCTGGCTGCAAATAGAAATATCACCTTGACATTCAAAAATCTTCGGAACAATTTTGAATGTTTTTTCCCTCTATAACCTTGTTGATCAGAATTCAGACGGCAAAATTATCTAAATTGGCTGCCTGACGCTATCTGCAAGTACCTCATCTTGTAAAGTGCTTTGGTGCACAACTGAAGATGTTCAGGTTAACAGCAAAGAGAACGACGCTTGTTGCTTATGACTTGCAAAACTCTCAAGTGATTGCACTCACTTTTAATTGAATTGCATCTACATTCATGGCAGTTGCCTTTGTTTACACGCAGAGTCCGCTCTCCCAAAGTCATCCCGGTACTTTTTAATTGCCTTTAATCACTACCTAGAGTCAAGTGTCATATTTTTGGGATGTTTTGAGCATTAGCTGCCAGTGTTTATCCCCTCTATGGGTAAACCTTGTCTAACCTTAACCTACTAAGTCCGGGACCGTCGGCTCTAGCTAATAACGCCCCGCAGTGCTTTTATTACTGCCATTAGTAAATTAATGAGAGCATTTATCATAATTACTGTGTGCTGCGCTGAGTCTGAATCAGTGCTAACCCCGTGTGTCATCTCAAACAGACCCAGGACAAATTTGGATAATTATAGCTCAAACCGTCCATTTTATATTTAGCGTTGAATGTTGTATAAGATAAGACATTAAAACTGCATTTAAGAGAAAAGGGAAAAACCGAAACATGTAATTATTCTCTGACGGTCGCTTCGTTGCTGTCACTGTTCTGACGAATGCAAATGTTGACTGTAGTGTCATTTTCTCTGCGCATAAATTGGGAATTTTAGCCAATAACCCTGGGTCGCCTCTTTTTACACGCTGAGCATTACCCTGGTGTGTCAAAGCGACTTGGCATCCAACTCAATGTGTTCTTGTATAGCCCTAAATCACAACAGTAGTTATCTCAGAAGACTTTATAAAATCGTTGAAATTGCCAACACAGATCAGAGAATCAAACAGTTCAAACACAAGAAATGCATTTATAAAGGACCAATGCTCATAAATGTTGTTGAATGTCGAATGTCTTGGATCATCACCAGTGTCCTTGTATCGGCAAGGAAAAACTTGGTAATTTAGATAGAAACTTAACCATACTGTTTTATAGCTAATTCATTACATGTGGTCAGGTGAGGAAGATTATAAAATACACAAAAGTCATTTATTGACAACGTTGACATTGACATTTGAATGTGCGTCTCTTTCCTGTATAAAGTTATTCTTGTAAAACATTTTTTTGTAATGCTTTCAGCAAATAATGATAATACAATTCCCTGTAGATGGACTGTGGTGTGACTTTTTTTCTATGATAATTAAAAGTTACTTACCCTATCTTTTGCAATACATCTGTAAGGCGTTTTTCCTCCAAACGGACCAGACATGATCCAGTTAAAAACCAAAAAGCAAGTAAACTAAGGGGGCTTTAGTGTACGTGTGGAGTAAGTGGACTAGTTAAGTGGACTAGTTACAAAAGTAAATTGTGGCCTGACATTATCACCAAAACAGTATTATTGTATTTTTTACAACTTTTCAGTCTCTTTTTAAACTTGTCATTATGTATATTATCCCTTATTTCCATATCACCTTTAATACCAGGGTTCTAAAAAGCTAATGTGGCATTGAATCAATTTCACGATTATGAAAAATGCATACACCAATTCAGACATTGAGAAGATGGTTTAATAATTTTTAAATACAGTCATTATTCTTATTCAATTCTGCCCCATTTCACTTAAGACAGTAATACGTCCTATATCTCTATGCCCTCCACTCCACTTTTATATTCAGAAAATATAAAAATATATGTGTCATACTTTGTAATCCTTTTAAACCTGCGAGCAAACAGAGCTTTAAAAATGATTAGTGAGCATCCATAACTGTCGAAAGCTTTTCAAATTCTTTTGTCCCTGGGTTTTTAAGTGATTTTTCTCCCAGAATTCATTAGCTGTGGATGATATTTGTTCAGTTTACAATCATCAAACTGGATCCAAAACCAGAACCACAAATATCGAAACAAAAAAGCCCTACCCAATAAGTATAAGCCATGATCGCCTACTTCTGTTGTATGAGCAGTACAATTGACTTGGCGTGAAAACAACATGGCGGCTCCGATGCGTGACGGACTGCTCACGGTCGTCATGGAAACCTTATCATTAGCCGCCGTTGAGCTTGTGTGCAAGTGGGGTTTTTTTGGGCTAAATCCGTGAAAAAGAGGCCAAATGGTGATGGTTTGATTTGGTTACCGGGGAGAGTTGATGGTGCGTTTAAGGTGCAGAGAGAGAAGCAGGAAGTGAGGCTCAGGTTTGACGAGCTGTCGACAGTGATGGCTGCTCCTCATTCATATTAATGATCCGGAAATATGACACCGATTTTTGACATTTTTTGAGAGTAAAAAGTTGAAGATGGAATACATTGAATGGCAGAGTGGGATTTGAAACAAAGGATCGGGATTGTAACTTCACAGTACTACTACACAAACTAGTGTTAACTTTCAGCGATATTGCAACCTACACATGGGAGTGATTAAATAAGTAATATTTAGCGCATTGTACAGACCAAAGTAATGATAATAATAATAGTAATAATACATTTTATTTATAATCGCACCTTACATTTCCGTAAAATGCTTGACATTTTTTAGAGTTAAAAGTCCCACAAAGCGCTTTACAATTATTTTTTTCAGTGTACCAGTGATTCCCATTCACTTTAAACACGTTGATGAAAGCCCCAAACCATCAGCCTTTGTACGTTCTCTCAATACATTCAGGCTTATAGTATATATTTTTAATGGAATGGGGAACTGGAGCACCTGGAGGAAACCTATGCAGACACAGGGAGAACATGCAAACCCCACTCAGAAAGACGTGGAGGCCAAATCAAACCCAGGACCTTCTTGAATATAAGTTTGACATCCTGATGACCGAAGATTTAAATGCCAATGTCAGCTTTATTTGTACAGCACAGTTACAACACTAGCTGCCCAAAGTGGTTCACATGCACAATAGAACAAAATAAAAAAAACATAAAAAAACACAATTAAGTACACACAAATACATGAAAACGTGTAAAACAGAAAACAAAAGAATGTTTAAATCTCAAAAGTTAATTTGCAAAATGAAGACTTTTTAAATAATCAAATCTTTTTTAGCACCATACACATAAGGTTTAACCCCTTGTTGAGCAAACGACTTCAAATGGACTGCTAAGAACAAAACAAGATGTAGATTAGAACTAGAGAAATACAATTTTTGGACAAATTCAAAATTCAAAATGGAGATATCTGTGTTTGCAAAAGAACTCTTCATCTGTTGCCCTGACCCTCCTCCCTGAAGCCAACATCTGGTACCGGGTCTTTCAGGATCTTCTGGGCCTGGA